GTATTAGTTTTTGTGATATTGAAAATGGTGACAAGAATGATGAAATATCAATGGAATCAAACATTTTTATATCATAAAAACCTTATTTAAAAAAAAAAAATAAACCTACAGTTTATTGTGATATATATATATTGTTATCGTGAAATAAAATTACTCGTATGGTGATATAAGATTTTTTTCCATTATAAAGAACCTTTTTTTGGAATGGAAAGATTCTAGCGATATTAAAGGTTTTTTAATCAAATCATAGAACGGTTATGCTTCTAAAAGTGTAAATATTTCAGTCAAATGCATGTAAACCACACCTGATGCTTCCCTGTTCAAAAATACAGATGCCAACAAACCTGTTTTTCCCTTGAGTGATTCCCAGCGTACTTTTTTTGGGTTTGTCTAAACTTTCTGAAGTGTACAGAAAATGTTTGTGTTTGTTGGGATTTCCCGCTTGCTTGTTTTCCACCTCGTTAGTCTGATTTTTTTATACCAAATTGTTTACGACAACAAAGACGTTGACCCCGAGAACTTAGAATAGTTTTCTGTTTTTTATTGTTAGCTTTTAGACTAGTGTTGCTACACTTGACAAAAGCCACTTTTAGCAGATTTTTGTGTTTAAAATGCTCTGTTTCTGCCTCTTCTGGAAAAACACCTCTGATAGCACTGCTGACTCAGAGTTTGTCATATGTGGGTGTTTCTTCCGCTTCGGGCACTTTAATGTCTCAGGGATTGATTAAAAAAAAAAAAAAAGATTTCAATGTTTGTTTTTTAACATGAAAAAGATCGCTTTGGAAACTTGACCATACCTTCATCATTTATTTTTGCTGCCTTTCAAATTACTTTTGGTAACACTTTACTTGAAGGGGTGTGCATAAGACTAACATGACACCTTCATAATCTTGACATGACATATGTTTTATGCATGTTTGTGACAACTGTCATTTAGTGTCATTCGCTCAGTTATGACATTTTTAATGCAAATGTGACATTGTTTGAGATGTCTTTGTTATGACACCTTGACATAAACCAATAGATCATAACCTGTCAGTGTCTTTGTCATGATAAATCATCATATTATAATGAATTCTGGAGGATCATGTGATTTTGAAGATATTTAGCAATATATTCACATAGAGAACAGTTGTTTTAAGTTGTTGTACTTTAAAATATTACCGGTTTTACAGATTTTTGATTTTATGGTGAACAGAAGAGACTTTAAAAACGTTTTAACATGTACATAATGTGCTATCACTGAAATTAGGCTTAAAGGAGTTGTTCTCTTTTAAAAAAAACTTTCGCTGATAATTTACTCACCCCCACGTCATCCAAGATGTCCATGTCTTTCTTTCTTCAGTTGAAAAGAAATTAAGGTTTTTGATGAAAACATTCCAGGATTTTTCTCCATATAATGGACTTCAATGGGGTCCAAACGGTTTAAGGTCCAAAAGACCATTTCAGTGCAAACTGCAAACTGTTCAAAGGGCTTTAAACGATTCCAGACGATAAATAAGGGTCTTATCAAGCGAAACGATCACTCATTTAATAAATAAATAACAAAGTTTAAGTTTTATGAGCTCAACGACCGCCTTGCTCTGTTCTGTGATGCGCGTTCGTGACTCTCCTGTTTGAACTCGTTCATCAAAATGAACGAATCTTTTCCCGAGGCAATTCGTTCGTTGAATGAAATCGTTGAAAAAGATTTGTTCGTTTTCAAAAACCTTCATCAAAAACCTTAATTTCTTTTCGACTGAAGAAAGAAAGACATGGACATCTTGGATGACGTGGGGGCGTGTAAATTATCAGCAAAAGTTTTTTGAAAAGTGAACTACTCCTTTAACCAGATAAAGGATTTGTCCAGGATTTTACCGTTTTATACACTGTAAACAACACCGTCTAAGAGTTTTTAATGTCTTCTGCCCGCCTGCATTTATTTGATCAAAAATACAGTACAATAAAGACAGTAATATTGTGTAATATTAAATAATGAAAACTCATCCTTGGGACTAGGGATATACCGTAAAGTATCCTCAAACAGTATAATAGCTTATGATTAGTGATATATATTTCAAACTCTTAATGGCGAACGCTACAAAGATTGACTGTTGTTGGCCCTCTGAGAAACGATTATGTTATATAGTGCATATCATAATTATAAAGTGGATTACGGTGCTGATGATGCTCTTGACTATTATCAGCGTGCCAGAGATAATGATAATCTGTGTTATGTTTCTTTCAGAGGGCTTGGGTCTTTCTGTGGATGTTCAATCCGCCTTCCCTACGGATTCTCTCTTCAAAATCAACACGTTTAATATTTCATTTAAAGTTCAGAGCTTTCTGCATCAGTACGCAGTAAAATCACAGCTGAAAGATACAGCTTGGAGACCAACAATACATCTTCCTCCCTCTCCCTCCTACATGAACGCACTCTTTCTGCCTGTATTTTGCTTTGCCGTTGGTTTCCCGGCTCTCCTACTGCCTTTCCCTCTTTTGTTCTTTCTATCTCTCCCCTAATCTCTCCTCATCCCTTTCTCCTCCTATGAATAATACACAGTGATAATACACTGTGCAAAGAAGCCATATTGTATTCCCACAGTGTGTTTCTGTGATCATCTTCTCTTGGCTGCACTCAGCTTTAATGAATGTTAGGAGTTATTAGCTGGCACAAACTGCCTCTGGTGAATCACACTGTCTCAGCCTTTGTTGTTTGCATGATTCATTTTCTGTTCTGGAGCAAATTTGGCTCTTAAAAGAAGCAAGGAATCATCAGTGTCCCGCTTTATATTTCTATCACACGCTCTTCTTGGACCTTTTTCATCCTGTCTCTTTGAAATTCTCTTTCTAAAAGCATGTTCGGAATTTGTGGAATAATTTCAGTGTTTGTGTTGCAGTCCCTCAGTGATCTTCCTCAAGCCTTCTGTTTATGAGGTTTTGTAAATCCCCTTTAATGGTCTATATCCATCCATCCATCCATCCGTACATCCGTACATCCATTCGTACATCCATCCATCCATCCATTCGTACATCCATCCATCCGTTCATCCATCCATCCACCCATCCGTTCATCCATCCATCCATCCATCCACCCATCCGTTCATTCATCCATCCATCCACCCATCCGTTCATACATCCATCCATCCATCCATCCACCCATCCGTTCATCCACCCATCCATCCATCCACCCATCCGTTCATTCATCCATCCATCCACCCATCCGTTCATCCACCCATCCATCCATCCACCCATCCGTTCATTCATCCATCCACCCATCCGTCCGTTCATTCATCCATCCATCCACCCATCCGTTCATACATCCATCCATCCATCCATCCACCCATCCGTTCATCCACCCATCCATCCATCCACCCATCCGTTCATTCATCCATCCATCCATCCATCCACCCATCCGTTCATCCACCCATCCATCCATCCACCCATCCGTTCATTCATCCATCCACCCATCCGTCCGTTCATTCATCCATCCATCCACCCATCCGTTCATTCATTCATCCATCCATCCATCCATCCATCCACCCATCCGTTCATTCATCCATCCATCCCTCCATCCATCCACCCATCCGTTCATCCATCCATCCATCCATCCATCCATACACCCATCCGTTCATTCATCCATCCATCCATCCATCCACCCATCCTTTCATTCATCCATCCATCCATCCATCCACCCATTCATTCATCCATCCATCCATCCACCCATCCGTTCATTCATCCATCCATCCATCCATCCACCCATCCTTTCATTCATCCATCCATCCATCCATCCACCCAACCGTCCATCCATCCATCCATCCATCCGTCCTTTCATTCATCCATCCATCCACCCATCCATCTGTCCTTTCATTCATCCATCCATCCATCCGTCCATCTGTCTGTTCATTCATCCATCCATCCATCCATCCATCCATCTGTCTGTTCATTCATCCATCCACCCGTCCATCCGTCCATCCATCCATCCATCCATCCATCCATCCATCCATCTACCTATCTACCTATCTATCTATCAGCCTTTTTGTCTGTCTGTCTGTCTGTCTGTCTGTCTGTCTGTCTGTCTGTCTGTCTATCTATTTATTGGCTCTATTGGCTTTTTTGTCTGTCTGTCTCTGTCTATCATTCGATCTATTTATATATCTATCACCTTTCTGTCTGTCTGTCTGTCTATCTATCTTTTCTTAATGGCACTTGCATCACAGTTATTGTAACTCATATTTGAAAATTAGGGTAACTAAGTAAACCAATCATAATTAATTAAAGAACTAAGTAAACAAAATGTAAGGAGCATAACTCATATATTTTTGCGCTATACTATGGGGAAATGTATGTCTTGTTGAGGAGAGGAGCACTGTTACTTTTGTAAGCAGTCAGTCATATGACTTGTACCTTGTGGATGATAAAAACGGATGGAAAAATTCAGACGTGCATTGTAGCGGCACCCAAGCCATATTTTGGGACCAGAATATCACTTTTTTTTGACTTGATCCAGTAAGCAACCACCCAAAACACACTAATATCCAAATAAAAGTTAACTCAGCACCCTTTGGCAACACATTTGTTTTTATTACCGAGATTGATCATGGTATAAGATATGATGTGTGTCTCTAGTGTGAGATGAGAAACACTTTTCATTCTGTTATGGAATGCAGTAGATTGCCTGTGTTATTTGCTGTCTCTAATTAGGTTTAAACAGACTCAGGCAGGTTTTTTCTACTTTTATTTTTGGCCCATGATATAGCCTCCGCATACAAAGACTGTAGAGCCAGTTATTAAACTGCAGACAAAAATGTCTACGTGAACAAAAGGCAAGACATGGCCTCCTTTGCAGTGTCTTTTTATGGAAGTCTAGTTTCGAGGTTAAATTGATTTGAAAAGCTGTTGGATGCTTTAGGGGGTTGCCTTACGTATCTAATGAGATTAATGATGATGTTCTAATTTTAGGTTATCGGCATGTTTTGCCTGATTGTTTACTTCACCCTCTCGATCTCTGTCTCCTTTAGGTATGTGGTCGTTTTCGGTGTCTGAGTTGGCCGTCGCCGGGGTGGAGATCGGTCGTCTCTCGGCAACAGATGCAGACCTGGGTGAAAATGCACGGGTGGACTTTACGATCGTGGACGGCGAGGCAGGGGACACTTTCAACATAACTGGATTGAACCAAGAGGCAGTGATCTTGTTAAACAAGGTGGGAGTGGTGAAACAGAAATACCTACAGTAATATTGTTTTCTTCCATGCATTCCCAAATCCAATTTTATGGTGTATCTGACTCAAAACTGTTATTAGTTTGTAGTCTTAACAGTGAAAACCACATGAATAGTAAATGAGTGAGTGGGTTCGGACACATCATATGTATAAATATGCATATAAATCCCATTTTGTGTCCTCTTTTTCTCCACAGACATTCTCTTATGTCTTTTGGCATCATACTAATGCTTACATTACTATGGCAATCAATGTAGCTGCACCTGATATGGATTACATTAACTTTCTGGACAAATGGAGTCGATTTCATTACTTGCAAAATGACAGTGCAAATAGTCAGTGCCAACGGCTGAGTGTGGTAAATCTGCAGTGCTAGAAAAGGCATATTGGGGTGGGCAACTACTTAACACTCCCTAGCAACTGCATAGCAACCAGTATTATTTTAGTATTATTTATATTTTATATGCTATAGTATTTATTCATATTTTGAATTAGCTTTTATTAGCAATATGTTAATCCAACCAGAACACCTATGCAACTGCATAGCAGCACACTAAAAACACACCATAGCAATGTAAAAATGCAAATAAATACTGTAAATCATTAAACTGGAAAACCCTAGCAACCACACGGCAACGCGCTAAAATGCTCAGAACACTCTAGCATGGCAATGTTTTAAATCCATGCAGAACAACTTAGCAGTTGTATAGCAACACCTTAGCAACCGCCCAGCACACCCTAGCTACCACATAGGAACATTCTAGCAGGCATTTAGCGCACCAAAAAAGAGCTGGAAAGGTCTTGGTTATGTATAGTAACCCTTAGTTGCTGCATAGCAACACCCTGGAAACCACCCAGAACACCCTAGCTACCAAATAGCAAAACATTTAAATAAAAACACTGAGAACACCCTAGCAACAGCTTAGTAAAACTTTAGTCTAAACCATCTAGAAAACACTAGCAACCATACAGCAATGTGCTAAAAATGCTCAAAACACCCTAGCATAGCAATGTTCTAAATCCATGCTGAACAACTTAGCAGCCACATAGCAACACCATGACAACTGCCCATAACACCTTAGCTACCACATAGCAATCAGCTGAAAACCGTAACAACCATAACAACGAATCATCTTAGCAACTGGATAGCAGTACATTAAACAAAAACTCTCAGAACACCCTAGAAACCACATAGGAACCATTTGGTGCGCTAAAAATGTGCTGAAACCTTAACCACCACAAAACAACACCTGAAAACACTCAGAACATCTTAGCAACTCTGCATAGCAACACCCTGGCAACCACCGGGAACACCCTATAGCTACCACAAAGCAACCATTCAGTGCACTAGAAGTGTGCTGTGAACCCTAAGAATATCTTAGCAACTGCATAGCAACACCCTAGCAACCACATAGCAACAAATGAAAAAAACACTCAGATCAACTGCATAGCAACACCCAGGAAACCACCCACAACACCTCAGCATTGTGGTAATGACTTTTTTGGGCACTGGCTTTGTAGTTTCTTCAGAAAATGAAAAAGTTTAATTGTGTTTTTGTTGTATTTATTTTAGTGAGAGGGCAAAGAAAGAAGGTACGGCAGAATGAGTTCAATTGAATCGGAGTTCAAATGTAAATGAGGATAATCTGCACCACAAATGTGTGCCAGCGAACATGCATATTAGTGCCGGCGGAAAGAGAATGTAACCTGCGGCCCCGTGAGAGACCTCATCACAGCACACACAGGCAGCCGTTTATTTAAATACAAACTTTGCAAGGATTGAGAATGTGCGTTTCACATAAAAGGACTGTGTGTGCTGCCAAGTCACACGTAACTAATTGAAAAGTGAAGAGATTCCACCTTTTTTTAGCCGAATCAAAATAAGAAAACTGGATAATGAAAAGAGAGCTATTTTCTGCGCTGATAAGTGCTTATAAAGACGTGTGTGTGTGTGTGTGTGTGTGTGTGAGTGAATGAGTGAGTGATCCTTACCCGTCTGCACCTCCACTCAATACTTTAATGACAGGTATATGTGCTAGTTAAAGACACAGCCTGAACAAACAGATCGAGGAGAGGAGCAGATAAGAAGAAAAACAGGAAAGAGCAGGTTGTGAGGAACAAGATGAATCAGAGAGGGAGAGAGGGAGAGAGGGAGGGGGATACGAAAAGCAAATTAGATAGAGAGGAAGAGTGAAGGGAGACTAATGCAGCTGAGTAACAAGGGAGAGGAAGCGAGTGGAGATGTTGATTAACACACGGCTGTAGTTCAAGTGACAGAGCTTGTGTGTGTGTGTGTGTTAGTGGCTCTCAGCACTCCTCATGCCCACTGCTCCAGTACAGTGACATCACTACAGTCTTTCAGTGTATCACCACACACTATATTCTACATTTTTCCCATGAAGTCCACTTTTACTCTTAGTTACGAGTGGGTGTTGTGACCCAAATTTTGTATCACGACACAAGGAATTTATTTCACAGTAACAGTATGTGATAAAGTTATTTTGTCTGGAAATTCAGAGGAAAGTGATCTATCTATCTATCTATCTATCTATCTATCTATCTATCTATCCATCTATCCGTCTATCCGTCTGTCCGTCTGTCCGTCTGTCCGTCTGTCCGTCTGTCCGTCTGTCCGTCTGTCTGTCTGTCTGTCTGTCTGTCTGTCTATCTATCTATCTATCTATCTGTCTGTCTGTCTGTCTGTCTGTCTGTCTCTTTGTCTGTTTGTCTGTTTATCTATCTATCTATCTATCTATCTGTCTGTCTGTCTGTCTGTCTGTCTGTTTGTCTGTTGATCTATCTATCCATCCATCCATCCGTCCGTCCGTCTTTCTATCTATCTATCTATCTGTCTATCTATCTATCTATCTATCTATCTATCTATCTATCTATCTATCTATCTATCTATCTATCTATCTATCTGTCTATCTATCTATCTATCTATCTATCTATCTATCTATCTATCTATCTATCTATCTATCTGTCTGTCTGTCTGTCTGTCTGTCTGTCTGTCTCTTTGTCTGTTTATCTATCTATCCATCCATCCATCCGTCCGTCCGTCCGTCTGTCCGTCTGGCTGTCTGTCTGTCTGTCTGTCTGTCTGTCTGTCTGTCTGTTTGTCTGTTGATCTATCTATCCGTCCGTCCGTCTATCTGCCTGTCTGTCTGTCTGTCTGTCTGTCTGTTTGTCTGTTGATCTATCTATCCGTCCGTCCGTCTATCTATCTATCTATCTATCTATCTATCTATCTATCTATCTATCTATCTATCTATCTATCTATCTATCTATCTATCTATCTATCTATCTATCTATCTATCGATCTGTCTGTCTGTCTGTCTCTGTTTGTCTGTTTATCTATCTATCTATCTATTTATCTATCTATCCGTCCGTCCGTCCGTCTATCTATCTATCTATCTATCTATCTATCTATCTATCTATCTATCTATCTATCTATCTATCTATCTATCTGTCTGTCTGTCTGTCTGTCTGTCTGTCTGTCTCTGTTTGTCTGTTTATCTATCTACTGTATCTATCTATCCATCCGTCTATCTGTCTGTCTATCTGTCTTTCTATCTGTCTATCTATCTGTCTGTCTGTCTATCTATCTATCTATCTAACTATCTGTCTGTCTGTCTGTCTGTCTGTCTATCCACCCATCCATCCATCCACAGTATCTATCTATCTATCTATCTATCTATCTATCTATCTATCTATCTATCTATCTATCTATCTATCTATCTATCTATCTATCTATCTATCTATCAAGATTCAAATAACTTTAATGCTGATTTTAATGGTAATTTTTTTTCATGGTGTAAAGAAATCTTTATATATATTTTTTTAATTACATGAAAATAAACATAGCAATTAAAAAGTTTAATCTTCTAATATTTATATCAGTGTCTGTAGGCGTAGTTGGCAGCTGTGTCCTGCCGGAGGCTGTTTCGACCTCACACACACCTGACGGCCTGGACGGCCTGGGCCTTTGAGCTCGCTGGGCTTTCTCCTCTCAGGAGTGGGAGTTTGTCCATATTTGATTTCTGATGCTGGAAGTGTTTCTGGAGGGATGTGAAAAGGTGATAGAAAGTGTCCCTAATGTTTGGATAATTAGGGCAGGATGTCAAAAATTGGAGCTCTGTTTCCACTGTGATTCTCTGTGCAATGAGGGCACAGATACTCTTCTTTCAGCAGCCAGGTCTGTGTGTCTGTGTGTGTCCATCTATCTGTCTTTTTATGTATTTTATCTAACTATTTTCCACTTTCTCTTTGATTGTTTAGGCCAGAAACTACACAGAATATGTAAATGCAGATGTAAACTCTTAGCCAGGGCTTTTCATGCTTACGTTTCAGAATGCAACAACGCATGAAATTGAGCTTCGGTAGCCATCGCTCCTGCACCTTTAAATTCTCTTTATGTTATGTAAATATGGTTGCTCATACGTGCTCATGTCACTCCCGGTTTACTTGACGCCTCCTTTAAAGTCTACATGACATCAAAATAGACCCCATTTACTTTCTCGACAGGCTTTTAATATGTGTCTAATTAATTCACATTGCTTGCATCTTCTGAGCCTTAAATGGTGGACTCCCACGGTTCTCCAATCTCATCGTGTCCAGCATCACAAGTGCATCCATAACCCCGAATACAGTTCTGAAGCAGTTCTGGATGTTAATAATATAAGCACATCCATGACTTCCTTCCATCTTAATACCAGCAGAACAAGCCCTGCAGTCGTTTAAGTTCTGAAATGCTGAAACTCAGACACATTGCTCTCTTTTTTGGTAATCTACAGGGGTGCAGGAATGAAAAAGAAGTATATGTGGGAGTTTCAACATCTCACTGAAATGAAAAGATATTTTAGTGCGCCTTCTGGAGCCAAAATATAAAGAATGATGGCATGTGAGTTTCAATAAATGAGTGCGTGTTTTTATCTTCAACACCAGGCCGTGGACTATGAGAGGCGAAGCACCTACTCTTTCACTGTGGAGGTGCAGAACCCAAACGTGGACTCGCGGTTCCTCCGACGAGGTCCGTTTAAGGACCGTGCTATGGTGCGCATCACGGTTCTGAACGCAGATGAGCCGCCGCGGTTCTCCCGCTCTCGGTACCGGCTCGATGTGTCGGAAAACTGTCCTCCGGCGTGTGTGGTGGGGAGAGTGGCCGCCGTGGACCCGGATACAGGCCTCAGTAACAACATCAAGTAAACACACTCTTTTTACCTTCTTTACTCAGTATGGTTGGCTTTTATCTACTGTAGTCATACATGGAAATGGGCACATGGGTCACATTTCACCCCAAAATCAATACAAAAAGCAAATATTTTGCATAAAGAAAATTAGGACTTTTGTTTTGTATATCATGACAATTAAGCACATTTTCCCTATATTCTCATTACTATGTGTCCATAAATTTAACTTTTTGAGTTTTTGCTTTTCCATGATTTTAATTTTAATAAAGAGTTTTATTTAATTTTTTTTTAAATTAAAATTCATCAGCATAAATTAAGGACAGCATACACAAGTATTTGTATTTATGAGTGAGTTTCTTCAATTGGACATTTGTATTTATATTAAAATTAGAAGATTAAAATGTTTTCTTATTTTTATATGAAGGCCACATTAAAGCTATTTTGCAATCTTTTCACCATTTATTTGTGCTAGTTTTGCATGTATGTATACTCAAAATATGAAAATTAATTATACAAAAATGAATATTATTTTTATTTTTAAAACTAGTTCTAAAATAAGAACCATTTCATTATAACTCATGAATACTATGCGTAAAACTTGCTATGCGTTATTTTTGCCACCAAAAAAGGTTTGTGACAAAGATAAAATCTTTTAAACAAAATAATTTTGTGTATTATTTTTAGGGCTGTTAAACGATTAATCGCAATTAATCACATCCAAAATAAAAGTTTGTGTTTACATAATATATGTGGGTACACTGTGTATAATTTATATTTATATATATATATAAATACACACACATGCATTCATATAAAAAATATTATTTATATAAATATTTATATTTATATATAATATAAATTATATATAAATCTATATACAGTATATACATGAAAATATTTCTTAAATATATACAAGCATGTGTGTGTTATATATCAAATAATGTGTATATACATAATATACACAGTGCACCCACATATATTATGTAAACACAAACTTTTATTTTGGATGCGATTAATCGTTTGACAGCCCTAATTATTTTCAATTAAGCTGTAATTATCATATTATTTACAGGGTTTCAACGCTATTTGTAAAAGTATTGAAATTGATTTGAGTAATTTCCAGGTTGTGTTTGAGATTTGTGTTTTTGTTTCAGATTTCTACAATAAAGAATTTCCAAAAATTAATTTACCAAACAGGCAGAATGTTTTCATGGGAAAAGTGATTGTCGAACACGACCGACTGAATTGAAGCTGCACATTCACTACACAAAACAGTTTGTTTTTACCAAAGCGACTACGCGAGTCTCTTTTGAACGTCACTCAGACTGTACTTGGCTGTTAGTGATCATCCCACATCAATCCACGTTTACAGTATTAAACCGAGGGGAATATATGGAGGTTATAAAGCGCTTTAGATTTCTTCTCGTCATTTACGTACATGCTATCACTTTTAGAAAAAAAAGAGAAAATATAAATATTTACAAATGACTGTACCAAATATAATGCCATATGAACCATTTATGTTAAATATGGTCTGGACTCAATTGTATGATTTAATTGGGTTTATTTAAGTATAAAATGTTATTAGCCTTATTAAAATAAAGGAGTTTCTTATTCCCAAAAAAAAATGTATTGAGATGTGATGGAAATGACATTTCTTGGCTCTGAAAAATGATGTCTAAAATAAAATGTGACAATTCTCCGGTGATGCATATGTATATGCACTGTCCACAGAGAAATAAAAAAAGTAGTGGGAGTGCAAAAGTATTTATTTTCTACAAGTCCACAAGGACAAAAGTGCCCACAGATGCATGATGTGGGTTTCTGTTTTGCATTTCTGTAATGAGAACGAGTTTGTATAGTTTTCTTCCTGTAGATTTTGAGTTGAAAATGAAACATCACCTGGGCATGTTCAAATCTTGGCAGTTTTGCTCATACAGCACATGCATTATTAGTTATAAATATTGCATCATGTTTCCGTCTTTCACAGGATCTATGTGGGCTGTTTTCACTTAACCTGCTCCTTTTCACTTGCTAAACCCTGTTATTGATGCACTGGCTCCTTTATATCTTCTAATCTGTCTGCCTTCCTTCTTTTATTCCCGTCCATTTCTTGTCAGGTACTCAATTGATCCCGAGTCAGACCCCGAGGCGCTGTTCCGGATCGCCTCTGACAATGGTCTCATCACCACGGCCGTGGAATTAGATCGGGAACAGGAGCAATGGCATAACATTACCGTCATCGCCACACAGAGAGGTACCAGAGCTCCTCGCCTTCACTCTTAAAGGGACATTGCATCGATTCTGAGCGCTTGATAATTTCACACAGGTAGCCGTGTGAAATCGGGCCACAGGAAAGCTATTACTTCTGCAGCGGCTGTGAACACGAAAGCTCATGGCTGAGACGCGCGCAAACAGAAAGGGAAGAGTTAGAATGATAACTCAAATTGCTTTATAGTCTGGTCCACACAAGCTCAAGGTCGCCCATTTGTGCTCCCCGTCGGCCCTCTAAAACACTATCTTGCATTCTCAGAAGTCACTGTGAGAATTGAGTGGATTTGTTCAGCTCAAATTCAGTAATTACTTTCATATTAGACTCTGTTATGTCTTTATATAATGTCATATTCTGAACATCAGATGACGTTCGGGCCACTTCTGGTCGTGATGTAACGTTATGCCCCAAAAGAGCACAGAGCGTATGGAGAACAGTAAACCAGACAGATTGGAGTTAGCTTCTGTTTTCATGGTCAGTAAGATTTAGCTGACCTACTTGGGGCTTAAAAGCTTTTGATTTCTAACTTCCTTGCTTTGTTTTGTATTGTACTTCTCAGAATTTCCCATCATCCTGTTCTTTTCTCTTTCTTAGACAGCCCCAACCAAGTTACCAGGGTAGCGGTTGCCATAGAGACACTGGACATCAATGACAACGCCCCCGAGCTGGACCGACAATACAACACTGCCGTGTGTGACTCCAGCGCTGCTGGACAGGTCAGTGACCCGATGAAGACTGCTACGAAGAGATTATACAGTCCACTTTGAAAGATTATTCTTGTCAAGAAGCGCACACTTAAAGCCCTTGCACACTTAAAGCCCTTGCACACTTAAAGCCCTTGCTCACTTAAAGCCCTTGCACACTTAAAGCCCTTGCTCACTTAAAGCCCTTGCACACTTAAAGCCCTTGCACACTTAAAGCCCTTGCACACTTAAAGCCCTTGCTCACTTAAAGCCCCTGCACATTTAAAGCCCTTGCACACTTAAAGCCCTTGCACACTTAAAGCCCTTGCACACTTAAAGCCCTTGCACACTTAAAGCCCTTGCACATTTAAAGCCCTTGCACACTTAAAGCCCCTGCACATTTAAAGCCCTTGCACACTTAAAGCCCTTGCACACTTAAAGCCCTTGCACATTTAAAGCCCTTGCACACTTAAAGCCCTTGCACATTTAAAGCCCTTGCACACTTAAAGCCCCTGCACATTTAAAGCCCTTGCACACTTAAAGCCCTTGCACACTTAAAGCCCTTGCACACTTAAAGCCCTTGCACACTTAAAGCCCTTGCACACTTAAAGCCCTTGCACACTTAAAGCCCTTGCACACTTAAAGCCCTTGCACACTTAAAGCCCTTGCTCACTTAAAGCCCTTGCACACTTAAAGCCCTTGCACACTTAAGGCCCTTGCACACTTAAAGCCCTTGCTCACTTAAAGCCCCTGCACACTTAAAGCCCTTGCACACTTAAAGCCCTTGCACACTTAAAGCCCTTGCACACTTAAAGCCCTTGCACACTTAAAGCCCTTGCACACTTAAAGCCCTTGCACATTTAAAGCCCTTGCACACTTAAGGCCCTTGCACACTTAAAGCCAATTCAGCAAATTCTTGCTGTTCAGTTGCAAAAATTCCCTGACTGATTAATGAAAATCATTGTGTGAGTCTTTGTCCATTTGCGTTTCAGGTGGTGCAGGTGATTCGAGCCATAGACAAAGACCAAAGCAGCTCCAACTCTCCCATCCACTTCAGTATTCCCGCAGAATCCAGCAGTGCCCTCAACTTCTCCGTTAGAGAGCGAGGAGGTGCGCTCTCCAGATATCTCCTGTCATCCATCCGTCTTCTCTTCCCCATCAGTGTTCCTCATCTCCCCCCCCGGTCTCTGTCCAGACATATATCCTCCTTCATTACGCTCATCCATTTATCTCTTTTGTCACATTCTGCTCAGATGAACACAGCAAACTCCCTTCTCTGTGCCCCAGCAATCCTTTCTTTCATTATCCTGTTCTCCGCTTCAATCTGATGGTTTTTAATTTGCACCCCAGAATGAAAAATGATTCATCATTCATTTCCCTCTAAACCTGTATGCTGTTATTTTTGCTGTGGAACACAAAGGGAGAAATTTGAGAAATCTGGTGTATGGAAAATGTCTGTAACAAATATAATTAGTGTGTGTCTATATAATGTTATACTTATTTTATAAATTATTCTATTAATTGAGTCCACAAAATGAGTCACATGACTGATGTTTGTTTATGTCCCATTTCTTTTGCTTCCAGACCACACAGCGAGTCTGGTGCTTTTGTCGTCCCTGAAGGCTTTTCCTCGCTCTTCCTCTTTACCAACTCTAAAAATACCCATAATGCTCCATGACGGTGCGTCAGACCTCAGGAGCACAGGAACGATTACCGTTACGGTGTGTCCGTGCCAAAACGGGGGCATGTGGGCAGAGGAACAGAAACAACAAACGGATGAGAAGGATAAACCATCGTTGCCGGACTGGGAGAGGCAAGCGGTGTGTTCGCCTGTCCCGTCGAACTCCTATTTGCTGGGAATCAGCTCGGCCGCCATGTTGGCGATCCTGGCCTGTGCGTCAACTTTTCTGGGTCAGTTTTGATTTTCAGTTCATTTCATCAGATTTATGTTTGCTACTCGCCCTTCGCTCCACCTCTGTAATGATGTGTTGTTGCTACATCTGTCCATCACTCCCTGTCTTCATCCACCATTGCCTCCTGGTGTGTCTTCAAATTGCTGCTTTTCTTCCATATATGTATGTTTTTGTGGGTCGTTCGAACTTTCCGCCAACCTGCCTCGTTTCTTCTGCTCTGTTTGTCAGTCGGGCTTGCTAATGGACATGTTTGGGTTTGGTTTCTGCTCTATGTCAGTCATAATAAATAGCATTTGATGAGTGCTGACGGCATCGTATGGCATTTTGAGATTGCGGAACAACCCTTTCCCTCCCTCAAGGTGTACCCCAAATGACATTGAACACTCAAACCCCAGTAAGTAAGTAAGTGAGAGGTGGAAAAGGCATTTTCTACAAATACACTTTGATGTCTTACAATGTAGCCATATGCAGTCCCTCCAGGATTTCACGATTTTTTTGTGTGATTTTTGCGATCAAATTGACTGATTTTTGTGGTGGTAATTTCCAAAAATTTGTGAAAAAATTTGCGATTTATATTTAACATTTACCATACTAGTATTCAGTCCTTCCAGAAAAACGTGGAGTTTTTTTGTGATTGTTGTGGGAAAAAATTGATTGATTATGCGACCCGTTTTCTTTAAAAATGCGATGGAATATGCGGGATATTTATGCAATTTTATGCGATGAAATGGGAACTTGCAAAAATTGCGGTTTGATGAAAAAGAGAAAAAAAGTGATTCCCCCAACATCCTGTTAATGTAAGAGTCATTTCTTATTACTTCCTTTGATAAACAAGCATACTACATCATAGAAAGCGCTGGGAATATTTAATTTCTCATCTTGTTTTATTTCAGACTGTAAGAGTGTAAATATGGTGTGGCTCCTTTAAGAGCTGCGTGCTCCCTGTTGAACTCTCTGCAGTGTTATATGTGTGCGGGTAATTTCTGATTGATAATACTTCTTTTATCTTATGTTGTTTATTAAGTAACGATGTGACGGTAGAACGTGCGACAGACAGAATACGAGTTCGATTTGTGAGATGTCAATCGCCTCTGTGAGTCTGTCTGCCGTCGCGTAATTGCGTCACTTCATAACGTTCCCATGGAAACAGGGGGAAACGGCTGCTCTTGTGTGAAGCAAACGCAACATTTTTCAACTTTCTGCTAAGATACATGTGACTTTTTTGCAACGAAAATGCGAGGATTATGAAATTATGCAAACCCCGCATATTTTGCATGGAAATCGGCAATTTATGCGGCGAAACTGCGGCGTATTTGAAAAAATGCGGCCCCTGCATAAATATGCGTACTTTGGCTGATTTTGCATTGAATTCAGCGATCGCATAATCACGTTTTTCTGGAGGGACTGCATATGGCAATATATCATTTTCCTTCACTGTACAAAAAAACATTATATATATATATATATATACTGTTTTTAAAACTCTTTACGTGGACACTTGCTTTATATGCTCCACAAATTGTTTTATTAAACACATTTTGATATGTTGCATGTAGTAAATCATAACTTTTATCACGTTATTTAGTTGCTGTTGTTGACACAAGTTGTTGTGATCAACTTTATCTGACATAATTTTACAGAAAATTAGGAAAATATGTACTGTGCCGTAATGGAAAAATTGCTTAGAATTGGAACAGGTCTAATATAATTTCTCAGTGGGAATTTTATAGATATTGAAATCAATTATGTTATTACATTTTCCTGGAAGTGTTAACCATGATATAATTGCATTTCTGCAGAAATTACAAAACATACATTTTTGCCAAAAATGAAAAATGAACAGTGAGTAAAAGCATTTAGGAACGACTTGGAAGAAACCTTGAGAATGATTCACTCAATTTTAGTTTTAAAGATATTTCAATTTAGTATATTATGAATCATTTTTAAGATTTAAGACTATTTTTAAGAATTCGTGTTTTAAAACCATTTTCCCTTGCTGTATGGCAATGTCTTCCCCATTTTTTCCCCTTAAATATCTTTGAATACATTTTCATTATTAGAGCTATTTTTACACTGACAGTTATGAATCATTTCATCAGAAGTTAGCACTGAAACTAAAATAAATCATATTGGTAACTTTGAAGAAGCTGACGTTGAAGGCAGTGGTTGGTGCACTAGATAAAAAGTTGAAGGTTTATTCTTTTAACACTGATGATGATTGATTTGATTAAATATGAATTTAGTTAAGAAACATTGAGCTACAGAGTTGCCTTTTTGTATCTGTTGTTAAATCTGTTTTATGTCTGGAAACTAAAGGGAAACGTATTCCACTGCTAGAACACAACGCACAGTTGCACACTTTACTTATAATGGAAACTAATTAGCTATCTAAAATAAGATGTTTAATTAACTTCGGTTGACTGTGAACAATTTCTGAAGGTTACACACCTTTTGTTAGAGATTATTAAAAAAAGGTCTATTTTGCACTATATTTAGCCTCTACATCTTCCTGTGGCTCACACAGTGGCGAATGGCGGCTAGCAACATCTTGGTCATGGGTTCAATTCCCAGGGAATGCATTAATTAAAAAAAATAAATAAATGTATAGCATGAATTCAGTGCAAGTCGCTTTGGATAACAGCAGTGTTGGGCATGTTACTTAAAAAAGTAATTAGTTATAGTTACTAGTTACTTCTCACTAGGGTTGGGTATCGTTTGAATTTGAACGATTCTGATTCCGATTCCTTGTTTCGATTCCGGTTCCTAACGATTCTCGATTCCGATTCTTTTAAGAGGCAGGGTCAAAAAAGTTTAGCTAACCTTGCTAACCAACGGTCTTTCGGAAGGAAATACTCCTTCTGTAAAAATACTACTTTTGTCACAAATTTTGCATTTTGCAGAGATTTCTTTATTTTTAGAAAAGTGAAGCCACACTTTGGACCGCCGACGTAAGGTACTCATGTTCGACTCGCGTGGTTATGCCAACACTTCTGGTAGACGCTTCTTCGTTGGTGTTGTTCAGCGGTTTCTTCTTCCGCTCGGCGGACTGTGAATATCGAAACTAGGAATCGAAATTTTAACTTTTGAACGATTCCGGGAAAAACAAAAAGTTAGTCTCGGTTCCAATCGATACTCGATTCTCGATACCCAACCCCACTTCTCACAAGTAGTAACTGAGTTAAATCCTTATAAAATTAACTAATTACCAGGGAAAGTAACTACTGCATTACTTTAAAAAAAATGTTAATATAGGCCTATGTCAAATAACTTGGATGCACCCAATATTAAATATGTTAAATTGATGAAATGGACACTATAGAATAAATTATTATTCTAAAAAATCATACACTAATCTACTGTTGCTGTGGGACAGTGACCTATAAAATTCACTATAATATTTTAAATATTATCAGTAGAACAATAAAAAAATATTAGGTTTAGAACTTTATAATATTTATTAATAAATATTGCACAGACCAAAACTGGCCAACAAATAAGTCTCAAAATAATTTATGCTTAAATGTACTAAAAATGAATAAATAATAATAAAAACATATACATACACTCTTTGCAGTGAAAATTAAAATGATAAACAGTTTAACAAGAAGTGCTCCCAGAACGTTCCCTGCAGGTTATTTATTTATTTATTTATTTTTATTTTATTTATATAACCATGTAAATTAATTAAAACGTTGCAGATGATACCAATAGGCTACAGAGATTATTCTAATGCTGAAATGTGTAATTTATTTATTAACAAACTATTTGAAGAGTTCAGATGCAAAAGCCTCTAAGTGCCATTTGAAATTTTCTTCTAGAATGATCATTTTTATCAAGCTTGCATATTTAAGTTCAGTGATTTCACTTAAATGGCAATGATAATTACCTATTAATTGTTATTTAAGTGAAATTACTGAACTTAAATATACAAGTTTGATAAAAAATCATCATTAAAGAAGAAAATTTCAAATTGCATTTAGAGGCTTTTGCATCTGAACTCTTCATATAATGTTCGGACGCACTCCGTCTCTCTCGCGTTGTTCGCTTTGCGTTTGCGTTAGTCCGGTCCGGCGCCTCATAAACACACACACATCAGAGAAAAAACTTTGCAGGTCCTATGGCGGAAAGAGAGCCTACTCGGATGGAAACCACTTCAGTGAGCTCAATTAGGCTATAGTAACGCCGCATTTTATTGTCCATAACGGTAACGGCGGAAAAAGTCGTTTGTTTCATTACTCGCTACTGAGAAAGATAACGCCGTTTATTTATAACGCCGTCACTGGATAACAGTGTGAGTCAAAAGCTTAAATTGAGTGTATCTGTGTATTGAATGTACTTGTGTCTGTAACCTCCTCTGTTTTTTTTCTCGCTGTCTTTTGTCCGATAGTGGTGGCTGCTCTTTCGCTATCGTTGCGAAGGCAGAAGCGGGACACTCAGTCTCCTGTGGAAGATGATGAGATCAGGGAGAACATCATCACGTATGATGACGAGGGAGGCGGGGAGGCGGACACGGCCGCGTTCGATATCGCGACCCTGAAGAGCGCCCCCCAGAGCATGCGCAGGGCACAACGCCTTCGAGATAACAACAATATGTGAGTGTGTTTGATGCTCACATAAATAGTCCAATCGCCTTGGTTTCATGCTGCCACTATCTGATCTTTCAAATCACATGTCATTTCTTGACATTTGGTTTAGAAAATGCCACAAGCCCGTGTGAATCATTCGGCTTACATTCACAACAAACACAAACGAGTGTATCTTTCCTTGGAATCTCCGGTTACTCGAAAACGTTCAGTCGCTCTAAATGATGTTAACTGTTTATCTGATTAATGAGGGCTCTGTACTCATGGTGTGTGTGTGATTTAATGAGCCTTCACATGCAAATCTGACAGCTGTTTCAGTGCAAAGTTCATCTAGTTAATATTTATGCTGCTCAAACCCACACGGTGTCCTCTATCCATCATATTCCTGTTAGATGTCATTGTAATACTCCTGGGCAGGTTGACGAAAGTACATCACATGCAACTATTTTTAAAGATATAACTGACAGTTTTTGAATCGTTGCATCAGGAGTCACAACTGGGACTAACAGATCTTCTAATTAAAACAAGACAACTTACTGTAACTCAGAGGCATCTGGTTTTGGTGAAATAGCTGGAATGCAGTTTTCCTTTAAAATATGTCCAGTTTTCTTGAATTTGGTGATGTATTACCCAATTAAACAGAGGGGTTACGCAATACTTGCATAACTAGCCCAAAGGCTTAACTATGAAAGACCATTTCTGCCACATAAGAGACATTTTTTTTCTGAAATTATTAGATAAAAAGTCAAAACTGTAAGAGACTGTTAACTTTTTTACTCCTTAGCATGTTATAATTTTCATAATTTTTAATAACAATAATTTTTACTTATCAAAACGGGTCATATTGTCGACTTCATAATGATTTACCAAAGCTTGATTTTTTTTTTTTCTGTATGTGGAAGAAATTGGCTTCCTATGGAAGCTTGTTTCCGACACTGAATAAAAAAAAAATAATAATTGCGACTTTTTGTCTCACAATTGCGAGAATTCTGAGAAATAAAGTCTGAACATGAGAAATAATCGCAATTCTGAGAAATAAAGTCGCAATTCTGAGAAATAAAGTCACAATTCTGGGAAATAAAGTCACAATTGCGAGAATTCTGAGAAATAAGGTCTGAACATGAGAAATAATCGCAATTCTGAGAAATAAAGTCGCAATTCTGAGAAATAAAGTCACAATTGCGAGATATAAAGTCTGAACATGAGAAATAGTTGCAATTCTGAGAAATAAAGTCACAATTCCGAGATATAAAGTCGCAATTCTGAGGAATAAAGTCGCAATTGCATTTCTGACTTTATAACACGCAATTGCGACTTTATATCTCACAATTCTGACTTTATATCACGCAATTCTGACTTTATTTCTCGTAATTGTGAGAAAAAAAGTCAGAATTGTGAGATAAAAAGTCGCAATTACCTTTTTTATTTTTCATTAGTGGCAGAAATGGGCTTCCATAGTTATCTGCTATAATAATTAAACCATTTTAGTTTCTTAATGTGTGTTTTATTATAACAGGTATTCTCAGGATAACCTGGACAGCGTCAGAACCTTCAGCTGGAGTCAGAGTTTGGGTTTGGACCCACGGCGTCCCGTCTCTGCACCCCTCTACGGACGTTACTGTTACACCATCCAGACCCTTCCGGCTCCGAGAAACAGACTCGGCCTCGACCTCGACAAACAGCCGTACGTTCTCCCCGCCAGCCAGGGCCAGTCCTGCGGCCCTTTAGAATCCGCTTCTGTGTTTATCGACAAAATCAGGAAGGGATCAGAAGGTAAAGGAGCGGACGGATCCACCGACAGCATTCCGAAAGAGAGCGAGACAGGAAGTGAGGTCATCTCTGAGAGCCACACACTCAGCCAGGATCAGGTAAACTAATATTATCACACATCAATCTAAAAATCCCAATTATTGTCTTCATAAACTAGTAGATTTTTATAAACTTACCTAAAGTTGGTTAGCTATGAGATCATCAGTGTGAACCCATCAGTGTGATTTAAGATTAAATTGACACATTTTCTTTGATTAAACTAGCCATAATCCTGAAGAGACATCCACCAATCAGAGAACTCAATGGAAATTAAAAAGTAGTGATCAATAGCGAGTTCCTATAAATCAGCAAAATATATTGTTTTATAGTTATAACAAGAAACTATATACATAAAAACATGTAATATTAATTTTATATGGTAGATTACATCATGCACAGCATTTCATGGGATATGAAGTTTGATTTAAAATACTTTCTTTGATTTAAGTCAAGTCATGTTGCCTTCATATTTGATGTCCAAGGGTTTCAGGCTTCAAAAGTTTAGGGTCATTAAAATGTATATTTTTTATTCGAAAGAAATTATTCGAAAGAAATTAATACTTTGGAAATTAATTCTTCAGCGAGAACATATTAAATTGTTCAAAAGTGACAGCAAAGACATTTACAATGTTACAAAAGATTTAAATTTCAAAAATGATCTTCTTGAGCAGATATTAGAATGATTTCTGAAGGATCATGTGACACTGAAGACTGGAGTAATGATGCTGAAAATGTATGAATTTGATGAATTTATGAATTTTTTTTTTAATTTTATGAATTTAACAATTTTATTTTAATTTATGAAAACAGGAATAAATTACATTTTAAATGTATTCAAATAAAAAACAGTTATTTTATTTCACAATATTACTGTCTTAACTGTATTTTTGATCAAATAAATGCAGCCTTGGTGAGCAAAAGTAATCAAATTTTTTTTATGATAGAACATATAAAGCTAGTAAAAAGGCTTTAGGCCGTGTGTCCACCAAAGCATTGTTTCATACTAAAAAAAATTAATTTTCATCCATTTTGTTCGGTTAGCTCTGCTGGTTGATGTCGTTGTACAGAAAGAATGTGGTGGTTGGTCGGTGTGGTATTAGTCCCGCCCCTCCTCCACTATGATTGGACAGCTGGGTAAAAAGTGACAGAGGTGAGCGCTGCATTTTATCCAAAGTTGAACATTTTTCAATCTCGGTGACCCGTAAAAAACGTCGGGCGATTCGGCGTGAAAAAAAAAAAACGCTCAGCGCCTCGTTACGCTCGATCATGGCGTTTAAAAAAAGCGGCGCTCCCTTTGAAAACATACGCCAGGCGCGTGTAAAAACGCTTTGCTGGATACACAGCCTAAGGTTTAAAATTTGATGTTCCTCACCGTTTTCTATTGTTTTCTTCCTCAGTCTGTTCATTCAGACCAGGTTCTGTTCGTGAAGGGCTCCAGTTCCTACTCGGAGACGTCCAGCTCTTCAGTGGGCCAGAAACCGGAGTCGTCCCCTCACTGCTTGACCACGCGAGCCTCCATTTCCACCATCACCACGGACGACTCCGCCGCCGCCTCGGCTTTGGACAAGAACGGAGACGTTACTCCCAGCCAGAGCACAGCCAGCCTCGTCGCGACGGAGATGCCCTTCAGGACGATGGAAGGTACTCTTCTGAGGGTCGGCGGAGGGGTTCCTGTGACCGGGACCACGCTTCTCTACCCAGAAGCTGTCGGCCTAATGGGCTTGTACGGGGTGGGCGGGCAGAACTATGTGCCACACCTAGTGATGCCCCTCCCTGGAGGGGCGGGGCTGTATGAAAGGGGGTGGGGCTTGGGGAATGGGAAGGTTGGACAAGCGAACTCGGAAAAGGCAAGCGGCGATTCGTTGACTAACAGAATGGGCGACTTCCTGCAACATCGGCTTGCCGTGGTGACCTTTGACCCCATGCAGCCGCCATACGACTCGCTGCAGACGTACGGATTGGAGGGGGGCGGCTCCCAGGCGACGTCTCTCAGCTCGCTCGAAAGCGAGGCCGAAAAAGATGCAGAGGGACAGAAAGACAGATTCGAGGAATGGGGACCCAAGTTTGACAAGCTGTTTGATATTTTCAGGGAACGAGCGAAGGAAAAAGAGGATGACGGAAAGCACGAGGGTGATTTGTTAAACGATGAACACCAGGAAGAGGAAATGAACAAGACAGAGAGTGAGACGGACACGAGAAAAGAGGACGAAACGACCGAATCGAACGAGACGCGGCGGGTCGAGGAGGAAAACATTGAAGAAATGGAACAAATGCAGAACAGAAAGAGACACTAAATGGGAAATGGGAACAAAGAGAGAGGATGTGATGTCACATCGTGAGCGTTCAAAAGCAATAAGTGCTGAAAGGAGCCAATGAGCACAATCTGGACAAAGAGAATTTTATATGGACCTGCCAAAAACTAGTACGTCAGTGTTTTAGAGGAGCAGTCGGTCTTATGTAAGTCACGCTTGGTTTTTACACTCACAGTTTTTGTTTTTCAGGCTTAAATCTCCGATTTTTAATGTGGTCTCAGACTTTTATACCCAGCATTAACCAGTGTTTTTGTGAAAAAGACAACAGACACGGCGCTCTTACTATCTGCTCACTTAGTCTGTATCTCTGATCAAATTATCTCTGTTATTTTAGTCTATTGTTTATATGTTGTTGTATTATTTATAAATATTTTGAATTAGCTCGTATCTTAATTTTTTTCTAGCTTAAGTTTGAAATTGTAATTTTTTATATTTCTATATGGTTTTAATTTATTTCAGATTTACTTTGTAATTACTTGAGCTTAAATCAACTAAATATATTTCAGTTATTTGCCTGAATAAGTAACCTTTCTAAGTTTGGTTAAAACATTGTTTAGTAATAGCAACACTGAATTACGCCTAGAATCTTGTTTCTCTCCCTAATGAGAGCACTTTGAAGCTTTTTCTCCCCTTTTCTTCACTTCTGATAACTATTGAAATCCTTGCTGAGGGGTAAGTGAAGAAACGAAATGCTGAAAAACATTCGTCAATGTTTTAAAAATTCCATAAATGACAGGAATGTTTCAGTTATTAGAACCTGCATTTAAAAAAGAAAAAGGTTCTATATAGAACCTTTAAGGGTTCCGTCATGTGCTTCATATTCTGAACGTTTAATGATTTTTTTTATTTTTTATTTATGAGTAAATTAAAGCCTGTGGTCAATTTTGACGTTTTGTTCTACAATGTATATTACACGCATACCAAAAACAAGAATTTTGAAGGAGTTATGATTCATTTTGTTATGTTTATGAAGGACTTATGTTTCAACTAGGCAGCTTGGTGTGCGGTGAGCAAAAAGTCAAAGTATTATCAAGTTACTGTATGTTTACCACAGGCTCTATTTAACTCATGTATAAAAAAACAACAACATTATAAAACCCCACTGGCAAATCTCGAGGGAACCATGGCGAATTGATCGTCCGTATTTTGGCATTATCCCTGCATCACATAATTGTGATGTCCTTTTCGGCATACAGTAAATGGTCCTTTAAAAATTGAGCAAAGAACCTTAAAGTTCTAAACAGAACCCAAATTAACTTTTTTTTCTAATAGTGTGTAATAAATTGCAACAGTCAGTAAAAACTCCATTCATTTTCTCTGTAGGGAAATAAAAAAACAACAACTTATAAACTGTTCAAGACAGCCCTACTGTGAGCGACGAAGTTGCGCATCGATAGTATTTGATTCAGTTGAAGCCGTCAGCCCGCATTATTTAAACTTAATCTTAAAATAATCGTGTTTAAGAGCGGAATTTGTGGTGAAAACTACATTACCCATGATGCTGTACAGAACATTCCACCAATCAGTCGTCACAATCAAAATTAGCTCTTTGGCTCCACCCACTCCCGTGAAGCACTGGAGTGACGTAATCGAGAATCCGTTTTCTCTCTCAAAATACTTAATTATTTCTGTATATGTGCATATTTTATTGCATTAAATTAATTTTATATATATATATATATATATATAAACTTATAAGTCAACATTTGTAAATGAGTAGTTTTATATTTCTCCAATGTTTTTAATTTCATTATGCTGTTTGCAATGCTTCATGGGATTGTAGTTCTTTCCCTCACTCATTCTTAAAATAATCATATTTAACAGCGGAATTCGTGGTGAAAACTACATTACCCATGATGCTGTTCAAAAATTCCACCAATCAGAGTCGTCACAATCAAATTTTGCCAAAATTTGCTCTTTAGCTCCGCCCACTCCCATGAAGCACTGGAGTGAATCCGTTTTTTCTCTCAAAATACGTAAATATTTCTGTATATGTGCATATTTTATTGCATTAAATTAAAATATATTGTTATATATATATATATATAAAAATAAAGTCAACATTTGTAAATGAGTAGTTTTATATTTCTCCAATGTTTTTAATTTGATTATGCTGCTTGCAATGCTTCATGGGATTGTAGTTCTTTCCCTCACTAAAATACCTTTGTATTTTTGTCTGATTTTCAAACACTTTTTTTCACTTCAAATCAAGGTTTGTAATGTTGTGATTCACCCCGTAGCTGGTTGGATGGTTCATGGCTTACAACGCTTTAACAAAGACTTTTTTAAATCCCTATGGGAGAAATGAATGGAAAAAATACTTCTAGAACCAACGCCTCTGAAAAAGTGTGCGGGCACTAATGCACTCTATATGTAAGTGGTGATTTGCCTTGATTTTTCTTCAAACATGTACAGATCAGAGCATAAATATGAGCTGGGGTATCCACTAAACCGTTCAGCAGACACACATCTTAGTCGGCTCTCTCAGCGCGCTCGTGTTACACTTAAGTTAATAATTCACATCGGCGTGACAAGTCAAAGTTATGAAACATCTCATTTTTGAAATATTGATTTCAGCCACGCGAGCGGCATTGTTTGAAAAATAGGTCTCATTAAATATGTACAATCGCTGATAAATTCATATTGACGCTTGCGTATTAATAAGGCACGGATTCTGATCCGAGAAAGCTAAGCTTAAAATGGTTCGATGAAAGGCTGTTTTTACTAGGTCACCGCAACCACACACACGTCAGACGATTTGCGCATGGCTTACTTCTGTCCGTTTTTAGATCAATTTTCCTGTGTTCACTAGTCAGGATGCTTTGTCTGGTTTAGCTGAACTGCTTCTTTTAGCCCTTTAGTTTTAAAGGAAGACCTATGCAACTGAAACTGAGAACATTAACTTCTGAACTGAATGTGGTCATGTTTGCTGTGGGGTTTTTCGGCCTGCAACGCTGTTTGCATTCTCATGTACAGATGTAAATATCGTTGGAGAACTGACAAGCTTTTTTGGACCTGAGAGTTTATGTAAATCTGAATCTGTTAATGTTGAATTCAATCCTAAAAACCACAGCAGGAAGATCCTGAGAATTTCCCAACGTGTTGTATGGTCTCTTGTCAAACTGATCATCTGATGTTTAATAAATGGTGTACAGTGAACTTTCGCACAGAAGTAGGACTTCATTTTTTCAGTAAAGCATTTAAAGAGATGTTCACGCTGCTCTTTTCCATGCAGTGATCAGGCTCTCAGAAAGACAAAATGCACCACACAAGCATCATACAAGTAATTCTCTCTGAATAATTGTAGCATGTTATTGAATATAGCAATGTTAATGCGTTTGGTCTGGATGGACTAGATCTGATACACTGATGCTGCTGTATATCTACACTCGCTGCTGTAAACATGTAATAAATGCTGAATAGACACACATTAATCCTGTAGCAGATCTAGACAGGTGGAGCTGGGGGAGGTGGACCAGCAAACAATGAACCAGACTATTTAAATGTTGAGCAAGCAATCTCATTGGCTGCAGGATCAGCAGAGGCCAATCAGCTTGTGCCATGCTGTAATGATGTGATTGTTTGCAGATTGCAATCACATCATAGTGATCAAATCTTGTGAAGTCATTAGACGGATTTGTGTGATGAACAGATTGAACTGCAAGTCATTATTAACTGAAAATGTTTGCATCTAAAATATAATTTGGGCTTATTCATATTTAAAATTAACACAAATTCGATGCACAAAAACTAGTAATGTTTGACCTGGCATGATGCAGATCCTTGAATACGTGCAAGTATTAAAGCAGGGCTATTATTGTTAACTACACTGTACTGTGTATATATATATATATATATATATACATATATTGTGTGTGTATTTATATATACAAAATAATTATATACACACATATGTAAACACAAACTTTTATTTTGAATACGATTAATCGCGATATATATATATATACACACACACAAGATGTCTTATGTTTTTTCATAATATATGTGTGTGCAGTGTGTATAATTATTTTATATATAAAAAGTCACACACATGCATGTATATATTTAAGAAAAATGTTTTATTAATATATAAAATATTAATATTTAATATAAATTATGTATAAATATATATACAGTATTTACATGTAAATATTTCTTAAATATATACGTGCATGTGTGTGTATTAATATATACAAAAAAATTATACACACACATATATTATGTAAACACAAACTAATCGTTGCCCAGACCTAATATATATATATATATATATATATATATATATATATATTAGGGCTATATATTATATATTATGTATGTGTGTGTGTGTGTTATTAGTTAAAATAAATGTTAATGTTAATTGACATAAAAATAGAATTTCCAAAATACAACAAAATGACAAACTTTCAAATTAGTAGGTAATAAAAATTAAAATGAAAGCAGAAATTCCAAATTACAAGTCTAATTCAAAATTAATTCAAACATTAAAAAAAAGATACTAAAATAACACTGTTAATAAGATTTAAAAGCAATTTATTCCACAAAAAAGTATTGCACATAAACTTCAGATGATAATTACATTCATATATTTAGGAGGAGTGAAAGTGTGACTGACTGCACCGGTTTAACAATAAAACCTGTTTTTCTTTGGGTTGGGTGCTGTGAATCACAAATAATTCTTTAATTATGATAACGTCATCGTAGTAACAGCAACTTCATGACATGCATTTTAATTTGAACGCATGTTTTGGTTAATTAAATCTTCCGTGTTCAATCTCTCAAAAATAGATTTAAAAAATAAATAAATAAATTGTAAACTTTTGCGTTCCCATTTGCTTTTGCGAGTGAACAGATTCAGTTTTTCTGAAACATTTTGCAAGGGAATACATTTACACAAAATGTATTTTTCTTAAAAAAAATTTTTTTTTTTTTTGAAGGGGATCCGTCATAGTCACATAGTGCTTATTTTAATATTTTAAGTGCTTATAATGGTGACCGCATTGGGCCCGGTGCATTACAATAACGAGACTTGTTGTTTTAATGATGCATATTAAAAGGTCCCTGCATGTATCCGATATGAAATCATACAATTTTGATAAATCAGAATATTTCCCAGGTTTCCAGCTTTACCGCATTAAGAATAGAAACGTTTATTAAAATTAACCGTTTCTTTCAAAAGCCATTAACACGACTCAACTCAAACACGTTTTTAAACATTCATCACATTGTTTCCCGTCCGTAATTATAATCCACTGCATGCATTTTTAAGACGGCGTGAATTATTAAAATAATTTGAAGATTCCGACACACCGCAAACTTCCCAACTACAGAAAACGCCGCTGACTTCATCTGACGTGGAGCCGCTAAAGCTCTCATCACTTTCATTGCACTGTCACTTCGCTTTCTGCACGAGACGGAGGAGAAGAAAGAGAGGAAGAAGCACGCTTTAGGCTTCAGACCTCAGGATGAGAAATCCAGATCAAGTGCATCTTTCCGTCTGTCTCATCAGCTGTGTGATGTGCAGCACTTTCTGCTTTTATCTAAACAGGTTGTCAGCGAGACAGAATCACTTATTCAGAAGAGAAGCAAAGGCACACCGCCATTAATACACCGGGAGCCGGAACAGCGTAAAATTAGAGGAAAAGGAGGCCAGCGGGCTTTTAGACCTTTAGCGGCGTGGCCCGCTGTTGCTCCTCACGCTAAATTATTCAGCAAAACACACAAACCGCCACAGAGCGATAAAATCTTATTAAAGTTTAAAGTGACTATACCTTCCAGGCAGTATTATCTGCTGTATGTAATTCCAGTGGCTTAACTTTGTTTAAAAAAGTGGGCGGGACAGGTGTATTTACAATATATATGTACAATAACAATTTTCGGAAAAAATAACATTATGATATCCTTTCAATAGTACATTGCATTGGGTTAAATTAGTCGTTTAATGAGATCTACTAATATATTGTTAGTGCAGAGAATTAAAGGATTAGTTCACTTTTGAAAAAACTTTTGCTGATAATTTACTCACCCTCATGTCATCCAAGATGTCCATGTCTTTCTTTCCTCAGTCGAAAAGAAATTTAGGTTTTTGATGAAAACATTCCAGGATTTTTCTCCATATAATGGACTTCAATGGGAACCGGATGGTTCAAGGTCCAAAAGATAGTGTTAATAACAGTTTCAGATGCAGCTTCAAATGTCTTTAAACGACATCAGACGATGAATAAGGGTCTTATCATGCGAAACGATCGGTTATTTCAAAGCTTATTCCAAAAATGTAACTTTTTTAAGG